CAGCACTATTTGCAATAGCCAGGACATGGAAGCAAGCTAAGTGTCCATCAACAGATGAATAGATAAGGAAGATGTGGTGTATATATATACAATGGAATATTACTCAGCCAATAAAAAGAATGAGATAATGACACTTGCAGCAACATGGATGGACCTAGAGATTATCATACTAAATGAGGTAAGCCAGACAGAGAAAGACAAATAACACATGATAACACTTATATATGGGATTTAAAAAAAAAGATGCAAATGAACTTATATACAAGACAGAAATAGACACACAGACATAGAAAAAAAACTTATGGTTGCCAAAGGGGAAAAGGGGGGAGGGATAAATTAGGAGTTTGGGATTAACAGATACACATAACTATACATAAAATAGAAAACCAACAAGGACCTACTGATAGCACAAGGAACTATACTCAATACCTTGAGTAATAATCTATAAGGTAAAAGATTCTGAAAAAGAACATACACACACACAAACTTGCACATATATATGTGTGTGTGTGTGTGTGTACATATATATATATATATATATATATATATATATATATATATATCACTTTGCTGTACACCTGAAACTAACACAACATTGTAAATCAACTAAACTTCAATAAAATTTTTAAAAACGAAAGTAGAAGTCCTGAGACAGAGTCCTGAGAATGAACAGAGGAAGATAAAAGAGAAAGCTGGTTTTTTAAAAATGGAAATATCTAATTGAACCAAATCCTACTGAGAGGTGAGTGAAATGAGAAAAGTGACCACTGGATTTTAGCTATGTGGAGGTCACTGATGGTCTTGACTAAGCTAGTTTCTGTAGAGCAGTCTGCATGAGTCAGGGTCCCCCCCAGACGCATAGAACCAGCAGGTTCTGTACACAGGTCGATTCACTGCAAGGAACTGGCTTATGTGACTGTATGGGTTGGCGAGGCAAGTCTGAAATCCCCCGTAAGGGAAGGCTGTCAGGAGGGGTGGACTGGAAGCTCTCTGGCAGGAGGTGAAACTATAGACCCCAGGCAGGAATTCTTCTGCCTCCAGGGAAAAAATTCAGTTCTGATCTTAAAACCTCTCAACTGACTGCATCAGACCCACAGACTATCAAGCATTGTCTCCTTCACTTAAGGTCAAATGATGTAGATGTTAAAATAAGCCCATCACAGCAACACCAGGATTGGTGTCTGGCTGAATCACTGGGACTAAAGCATCCCAAGTTAATGCATGAAACTGACCACCACATGTCTAAAGACTGGAAACAGTTGCAGTGGGAAGGGAGGGGAGAAGTGGAAACAGTTACTAAAGACAACTTTTGGGGAGAAGCTATTCTGTGAGGAAGAGGGGAGAGGAGAAAGGTAGATAAAGAGAACGATCCGGCTTTTGTAGTTGTTGTTTTGTTTTATGGCTTATGCAGGCAAGTTTTATGCTTATCAGAATGAACCAGTAAAAAAGGGGGATAAGATGATGTTGAAAGGGAATTTTTGATCCAGAAGACACGCTGAGGTTTTGGTATTATATACAACCTGAGAGAGAGGGATGTGTTCTTTTTTCCCAAAGGAAAAGCACAAAGCCCAAGGACTAGTGATTGAAGATTATAGAGTACCAGCTGGAAGATCATCCCAGAAAAGGGTGTTCTGTGTCGAACAGCTTCCCAAGGGGGTTAACTTCCCATCACTCACACTGTTTACTTGAAGGTAATTCATCTCCTTAGAGGATGCACTTATTAGATGCAGAACTTTCCTGGAGAGGATTCCATGTAGGACAAAGCTACCTCAATGTCAGAAGCCCTTTGCTTGGTGAAGATCTGGGCTTTAGCAGATCTGAGAACCTTTTTTTGTGTTTGTGTGTGTGTGTGTGTTATGCAGGCCTCTCACTGTTGTGGCCTCTCCCATTGTGGAGCACAGGCTCTGGACGTGCAGTCTCAGTGTCCATGGCTCACAGGCCTAGCCACTCCACAGCATGTGGGATCTTCCCAGACCAGGGCACAAACCCGTGTCCCCTGCATCGGCAGGTGGACTCTCAACCACTGCGCCACCAGGGAAGCCCAACCTTTTAATCTTGTAGAAAATTTTGCATATTACAGTAGGCACTTTTCTTAAGTGATGGTTCCTCACTGTCATCAGATTCTCAAAGGGGTCCATCATCAGAAAAAACTAAACATGTTGCTCAAAGGTCTCTCTCTACCCTACAGTCTATTATTTAACTTGACACTATGAGTCTCTCTGTGCAAGCATGCAGAGCTATGGGCATTGAAAACAAGGACAACTGCCAGGACAGAGAAAACAAATGTAGGATGACATGTTAAAGAGAAATAGGATTATCACACCAAAATAGATGGCTGAAGTAATAATATAAATACACTTTTTATTTCAGCATGAATGCTTCATGTAGTACCTAAAAATAAACCTCCTAGTGTAATAGGGAAGAACAAATCTGACTCCATATTAGATCTGTTTCATTTAACCTTTGTATTCTATTGCTTGTGCTTCAAGTTAAGAATGTTGTCTATAGCCTGAAATATTCAGGACAGTCCATTCTCAATGTTCTGACCTTTAAGGGAATAACACTTTTCCACTCTTTTAAAGATAAAAAGTTGCAGAACAGAGAATAATATTCCTCTTGTTGGAGGTTTACAAGAACATCATGATGTGACCTATGTGGACAGCTGCAAGAACAAAGGATTCTGACACCAAGAAATCTGCAACAACCAACCATGCCCCTTCCTCACCTTGCCTTTAAAAATGCTTTACTGAAACCCTTTGAGGAGTTTGGGGAGTTTTTTGGGCACAAGCCACCTGTTCTCCTTGCTTGGCCATGCAATAAACTTTTCTCTGCTCCAAACTCCAATGTTTCTGTTTGTTTGGCTGCACTGTGCATTGGGCACAGGAACTTGCATTCAGTAACATTAGTAGTGACAACTGTTATCAAGAGAAGAGGTAGCATGGGAATCTGGCTGCCCCACAGATCCTGGGTTAGTAAGCACACACGCCCTTGCCTTGTAGATGGCTATGCTTTTGGATGGAAGTGCAAGGCAGTTGCTCCTTGGTCTAGTGGTTTGTTGGAGCATCTGTTCTAAAACACATTCTTTCCGAAAGTACTTGTTCAAGATAAAGACAACCTTTTCACAGGTCATTCCCCTCTGTGCAGGACTTTATTTTTAGTAGAGACTCTATGTCCATAGTTTCCCTGAGGCGCTTGCTAATACTCAGCTTTCTGGGTCCCTCTCCCCAGAAATCACAATCCAGTATATATGGGACAGGACTCAGGAAGTGCATTTTTAAGGAGCACTCAGTTGATCCTGATGTGAGCCTTCAGTAGATCATACTATGGAAAACAGTACAAGTGTATAACACATTAGGCACTCCTGTAACCACAAACAGGGATCTCTTGGACTAATTTATATTAAAGTGATAGTAATCAAATTTGTTCATTCATGAGGGGTCATTGGGTTTTAGCATTATAAGCAGGAGACATCCCTGCTAAGACAGAAAAACAATTTATTATGATGCAATTTTCGATTTCAATATAAAACCTGCAGAGAAGAGTTATAGGGATGGGAACCTTCCCTGCATAATTTTATTCCAGAGTGACTGCCAGTTCCACTGGTGTTTACAAGCTTCCTTATCTGCAGGATGGAGCTCTACTTTTAAATTCAGCCAGAACAACTCACAGAGGGATGGAGGGCCTGCATAATTCTAAGAGAGAAGCATTTCATGTGTTATCCTGGGTTGAAATGTTTCTTCTCTTTCCC